TGTCAGCACAGAGCCCGACGGAGGGCTCGAAACCACGAACTGTGAGATCATGACCTGAGCCGAAGTCGGATGCTTAACTGACTGAGCCACTCAGGCGCCCCATCAGTTAGCAGTTTTGATTGTGTTTAGGATAAGACAATGCCAGTAGCCCAAAATAACCAGAGATTCTCCTGAATATGAAGATAATTGACATTATCATTCTCCAAATACACTAAATCTCCAGTTTTATAAGGCTTATCACATTTGGAATTATTAATTTAAAAAAATAATATTTACTTTTAAGGAGGGGCAGGAAAGAGAGAGCCAGAGTGCAAGCAGGTGAGAAACAGAGAGGGAGACACAGAATCTGAAGCAGGCTCCCAGCTCTGAGCTGTCTGCACAGAGCCCAAAGTAGGGCTTGAACCCACAAACTAAGATCATGACCTGAGCTGAAGTTGGATGCTCAACCGACTTAGCCACTGGAATTATTAATTTAATATCTGTCTGATCCCCAAGTTCATTGTAGGCTTTGTCTGTCCAACACTGTTGAATGGTGCCCTAGAACTATGTGATGCAATACCCTAATCCCTTCCCCAAACCATAATTTTTTAGGAGACCATGAGAATTATTACTGCCTTTTCTGTGTTGTATTCCAGGTACTTAGCAGAATCCTTAATGCAAAGTAAATGCTCAATAAATAAGTGGGTGAATGAATAAAAAATTAATGGTTTGGGTATATTTTCTGTCTTTCGTCGGGACCCTGGGAAGATCACTTAATATCTCTGTTTCCAAATATGGCTGTACTTCAGTATAACCTTCAGAGTTTTTTAAAAAATAGGGATTGGTACTCACTTCCAGGCATTCCAAATAATAGTTTACAAAGCTGCCACAAGTGGCTGTAATACGCTGCTAAGTTAGAGAAGCAGAGATTTAACCAATCTGGCTCACTTTCCTCATCTGGAAAACAACTGGTCCTGGGACCTCTTTGGATGTTGTTAAGACCAAATATGATCAAGTGCAAAGTACTCTAGCAAAGAAAGGACTATATATGACTGTGCGAAGTCGGATAAGACTTAAAGGCCACCAGATGGACCTGCCAGAGAGCACACACGATGTTACAACCCAGGTACTTCTCTTTAGCACAAATAGGACTCATCCGATTCTGAGATTTGAATAAGATCTGAATGTTTTCTGAACAAATGAATTCTTCATTTATTTGCCTATAAATCTCCTACATCTCCCTTCTGCTAAACCTGGCCACAAAGCACCTGTTTTATACAATTTTATATCAACGTATAAGAAAGAGAATCGTTGGGGAAAAGACCATTCATTCATTCATTCTTGGCTTTATTTCTTCGCTTGTTCAACTGGTCGTAATTGGTCGTTTCAGTGTCATCAAAATGATACCGCTGGCTACTAAGCCCCCCAGGCTGTTGTCAACACAATCGTTGCAGATACCATCAGGGCTCCACCTAGATTCCCGGCTTCCCCTTTATTGTTTCTGTATGCCCATCCCCCAACTTCGCACCCTTAGTCCTGACATAACTCATTTTCAAGCTTCTTCAGAGAATTTCCCCTGGGCTACGGGAGTCCCTTAGGCAGGATGCACTGGGAGCCAGAAATGGCGTGGTGTGGGAGGGTGATAGAGCCCACCCCTGACTGAAAGCAGTATGAAAGCCCAGCTCACTTGCCTTGAGGCAGAATAAACTATGCAGTCATTCACATCCCAGAGCTCCCATGGGACTAGGCTGAGCGTGAGACCTTCCCTGAAATTACACTTGTCCTGGGCTGCTTCCCCTCCTTATTCTGCTTGCCTCCCTTACTGGCATCACATGTAAGAACTTGCTTGTCATCATTTGCCCACAAATCTTCATTTCAGAGTCTTCTTCCTAATGTCCTCATCTTGCTCAGCTATGGGTTTTAAATTTAAAAATAAATTTTCATTTGTTCAATTAAAAATTATATATCATTACCAGATGGAATATGTATCTTTGTGTGCATAAGGCATTAAGTCCATTGATCTCTTCTTTTGTGACCTCAAGTCTTTTGTCCACCTTATTAATTCATATTAGGTCTTTTTGTTTTTGAGGTTAATTTACATACAGGGAAGTAAACAAATCTTAAGTACATAGCTCAACAAATTTTTACATATGTACGCCCCTGTAGCCACCACCCAGTCAAGATACAGAACATTTCCAGGACCCAGAGTCTCCACCACATCTCCTCCCCATCTACACTCCCAAGCAGCCACTATTCTAACTTCTGTCATAGATAAATTCAGCCTGTTTTGTACTTCCTGTAAATGGAAACATTCTGCATGTACTCTTCTGTGTCAGGCTTCCTTTGTTTCTTCCAAACATCATGTTTGGGAGATTCATCCGTGTTGCAAGTATCATTCATTCATTTTCACTGGTGTGTTGTTTTCCACTATATAGAAATACTACAGGTTATTTCCTCATTCTCTTGTTGATGGAAATTTAGGTTGTTTGCAATTTGGAGCTATCATGAATAAGGCCACTGTGAACATTCTCTTCATGCCTTTTGGCAGATATAAGCACTTATTTCTGCGTGGATACCCAGAACTGGAATTGCTGGGTCATAGGTTATATATGACTAACTAACCTTGGTTGGTGTGGTAGCAAACATATTACCTCTTTGCCATATTCGGGTAAATTTCCCCAAATTGCCCCCCATTTTTCTCTTTTGAGATAGAGCGCATGCACACACGCATGCAGAAGCAGAGGAAGAGAGAAAATCCCAAGCAGACTTAGAGCCAGCATGGAGCCGAGGTGGGACTCAGTTCCTTGATGCTGGGATAATGACCTGAGCCAAAATCAAGAGTTGAACACCTAACCAACTGAGCCACCCAGGCACCCCAGATTGCTTGCCTTCTTAATAATAGTTATCTTTTTTCCTCCAAGTTTTATTGTAATATAATTTTTATACATAATATTCATCTTATTTATTTATTTATTTATGTATTTATTTTTAATTCATTCCTTTTAAACGTGAAGTTTAAAAAAATTTGCCTAGGATTATAGTCATGTTACCACCACCACAGTCAAGATAGAGAACATTTCCATCTCTCTTATTATCTTCTATTTTAACACAGAAATGTTTACATTTTTGATACAATTATATGTGACTTGTCTCCCATTATTTCTCTATTTCTAAAATACTTTACCAGTTAATTCTTTCAGGTTAACTCTAGAATTACTCTACAAAGTATCAGAACAAGTGCCATTACCTTCTTACACAAACATATAATAAATTTAGAGAATTAACTGTTGAGTTGGACAGAGTAACATAAGAATCCTAGTCAAGGGGCGCCTGGGTGGCTCAGTCAGTTGAGTCTAGAGCTTCAGCTCAGGTCATGATCTCATGGTCCATGGCTTCAGGTCCCACGTCGGGCTCTGTGCTGACAGCTTGGAGCCTGGAGCTGCTTCAGATTCTGTGTCTCCCTCGCTCTCTGCCCCTCCCCTGCTCATTTGCTCTCTCAAAGATAAATAAACATTTTTTAAAAATTAAAAAAAAGAAAAAAAAAGAATCCCAGTCACTTACTGCTGGATGATATTAGGCAAGCCACTAGCCTCTGTGATATCAATTTCTTCTTCTGGAACATGGTTATAATAATGGTGCCTGTGGTGCTGGTTGCCAGGCACTGTTCTCAGCAGCTTATTTTGGTGCCTTATTAAATCTTACAAAAGTTTTGTGAAGCACATATTGGTCCTCTCCTAATTTTGTAAACTGAAGCACAGAGAAGTTAAGTAAACTGAGTCAGGCTCGAGAGCCACGAGCATGATGGCCCCTGCAATGCTTCTCTGCCTCACAGATAAAGAGGTGACTTGGGGAAAGATGAAGCGCAGCGCCTAGCATGAGCCACACAGAAATGCTAACTTTTATTATTATTATTCATCTTCTTTATATAGTCAATAAAGTTACATAATTGTCTTCATATAGGACATACCCATTTCTTGTTAAGGCTACTCGTAAATATTTTATGCCCTTTCATAGTTTTGAGCATGAGATGTCTCTTTCTCCCGTATGTTTTTTCATTGGTTATTCTGGATTGTAGTGGAAGCTATTGACTCCTTTCTACCATGTAGCTAACAGAACCCTAGCAGCATGTTGGCACCATTTAAAACACAGTCCCCAAAAAGTAATCTTCATTATGTTTAGTGTTCCTTTAATATCAAATGAAGTTAGCAGATAGGTAATGAAAAAATTAGAGATTAGAAATAAAATCTTAGGTTCTTTCTCCTTTGGTTAAAGAGAAAAGAGAGGGGAAACTGTAGAGAGAAATAATACACCTCGCTGAAAGTAATACACAAGAAGTCATAGCACATAACCCCCCTCCCCCAAAAAAGCTTCGTTCTCAAGCTCCTTTTTAGTGTAATACTTTAAAACAGTATTTACGGTTTAAATTGACTATGTAAATTCTTTTCAGTTCCATTGAGATATAATTGACATACAGCACTGTGGAAGTCTAAGGTGTACGGCATAATGATAGTAATTTATTTATTTATTTAACCACAGAAGAAGCAAAAAGTGTTTTAAAATAGCAAAAGACATGATATCAGCAAAGAAACAACTGCCAACAGCAAAAAACCCACAGCTTTCAACAGATCCTCCCCAAGAACCAGTCGTCCTAATTGAATACCATAGACCAGAAAGAATAATTATTAGCACTGCTGCCTGTTGCCAGTGCTATTCTAACACGCCCACCTTACACTTGTAACACCTCATCACCTAGTGCTGGCAATGTCTAACCCTTTTCCAGCTGCAGAAACTCTGCTGGACCCACCCCCTCTAGAAAAGATCTCTCACATTCCACCTCCTCCATCACAGAAGCAAGAGATTAAAACACAGTAATCTGATAGTAGATTGTTTAATACCCTCTCACCACTCAGAGGATTCTGAGAAGAAACACTTCCTCATATCCAGATGTTGGCATTTTAGTGTTTTTGTTAATCTAATAAAAAAGGAGGGGGCTATTTTTTCTGAAAAAATTGCTTTCTCTTGAATATAATAGCCAAGCATTGTACTTGTTGGGGGGGGGGGGCGGTGAACATTTCCTCTTGGGCAAAATATTCAAAGGTTTTGACTTTTGTATAGTAAATATATGTAAAAGCAACTGTATCAGCTCTCTTGAGAGCATTTTAGTGTCAGTGAAGGTATGCCTGTGTCAATGTAACATGACTGATCTGCTATCAGTCAGGAGGCCAATGGGAAAGGATGCTACCAACAAGAACAAAAAGAATATTGACCAAAGGACTTTTTGCAAAAGGTGTGAGCAGGCAGAGGAACTTCACAAAAAAAGATGATTTATTTGATCATAATTGGGAAATTCAGGAATGCAAGTGGCTTCATAGGTAGCTGGATCCAGGGGCTCAAACAATTGCAAATCTCTCAGGACAAGCAAACATAGGAAGAACGCTGGCACCTTCAGTCTCTGCACTTATTTTTTCCCAAAGGTTGAAGTGTCCTGGGCCTGCAGGCCCAAGGGGACAAGTGGGGATTAAAATCTACCAGAAACTCATGTCACCAAACCATGAGCCATGGCCTACAGAACTGGGAAAAGGATCGGGCATGCAAGCATGTGGGTTCGGCTCTCCCGGTGACCTTCCTGCTGTCTGATCAGATCTTCTGTCTTCCAGTCTGCTCTCTTCCATTGTGCTAAGCAGTCTGCAGGGGAGAGCAAAGTCTAAAAGTCATTTCAGCCATGCCAGTGACTGGTTGTAAATCAAATTCACAAAGGAGTAGAGTGTTAGAAGGTTCTTTTGGGCAACAACCCGAAAACAAGGGCTCAGTTTCTGAGAAATGAAACTATTTCATCTCCATTTACCTGAACTCTGTATCTGTTTCTCGATTTATTCTGAATTGACAAAGAGGGTATTATATTTTGGACCCCTAAAAATTCCATCAGCCGTGTTATCAGGATGTTCTCTCTCTCCATCTCTCAACAGTGGTTTCCTCTCTCTGTCTCGTTCTTAGGCAGATTTTCCTCATTTTGGAGTAAAGATGGCAAAGTCCAAGGTTTACACGGATCTTGCATGTCACAATTTTTGTGAAAAGAAAGTAGGTCTTTCATGATAACTCTAACAAAGATCATGGGGAATTTTTTCATTGGTTCAGTGTGGATCATGTGTCTAGGGAGGAATGGAGCACCCTGATTGGCTGGACCTGGGTAACTGGACTGCTGCAGTTTCTGGGGCATGGGTAAATCCCACCTAAACCATACAGGGCAAGAGTGGGGAGAGAGACTACACTCATGTGCAGATTGAGCAAACAGTAACTGATTTGTTCTCGGTAGATTGCTAAGGGATTTGAAATTCCTTTAAAAAAATTATTTTTCTTATTACTGGTTGTCACCTTCACTATACATTGGAACCACCTGGGGAGAAATAACCCCAGACCAATTAAATCAGAGTTTCCTGAGGTTAGGACCCTCGCATCAGCATTTTTATAGCTCTCAAGGTCCTGCTGATGTGCAGCTAAGATTGACAAACATAACATAGGTAAAGCAGTATTTCTTAATCTGGGGCCAAGCAAGGATGGCATTGATCTTGTTCTGGAGCTAGCTGTAACGTGTTACTCAAAATAGGAAGCCTGAGAGTGGAGGGAGATTATGGGAAGATGGAACTAACAGTGACATCACTTTTGAATCTTTCTGTATTTCTACCTAGAGACAGAACAACTAAATAGACAAACCAGAGCCCATGAATAACGTATGCAACCAAACTGGGCACATGTTCCCACAGACCACAAAGTAAAAGCAGGTGATGGCAAACCACAGACACTGTCTGAGAGAAGGGATACAGAGAAGATGCAACTGGGGATCTTAAAGACTGAGATGAAGAGATCCACAAAATAGGGAATTTGAGGACACGGCTCCCTTCCAGGATAGGGTCCCACCCAGGGGAAAACTCCTGGAAGTAGAATCAAATTGAACAGAACAGGGTCAATAAAAAAGTGAAGGAGAGAGAAGATCCCACAGAAGTGGGGGACAGGAAGAGTCCAGAACTCTTCCAAACAAAATAGTCAACTCGAAAACATGGAAGGCAAAACACTAAATTAAAAAATAAAAACCAATTATCTTTAGCAGTAAAACTTCTGAAATTTTGCCCTTCAGCTTCATGTTTCTTATTATTTAATACTTTTTTCTGTGAACATGTGTTGCCAGAATAGCAAGCTTGTATTTTCTATGTATATATGTTATCAAAGCCATATATATGTATATATGGCCATATATATATATGGTTATATACATGTATATATATAAATTAACAAGGAAGAACAGTACTCTAAAATATGGGCACCTGAACTACCTTATACATCCCAACGGCAGTGCAGGTGGGACCCACCTGGAGATCACCAAAGTGAAACCCGGTGTCCAGTACACCTTGTGGGCCCACACCAAGTCATCAAGAAGGAAAGTAGGAAAGTCCACAAGTGGCTGCATAAGGACAAGTCTCCAGTGTCATAACTTTGCACTGCACACATGGTATTGTTTAGACCTTATGAAGGCAATAAATGCTAGCTGAATGAATGAGTCTAAAATATGAATGAATATAGAGTGTTAGAAAACTTTAAGTCAGTTTTTTAAATGAAATTAAAAAATCAGGTAAATAAGGAAAATTAAAACACTAGAATGAAAATTATTTAGAAAGTTGAATTGTAGAATACTCTACCATTGGGCTCAACTCAGCTTTAATAATTATAGTTGCCTGAATAAATAAGTCTAACATCACGTGTCAGTCTTGCCCCTCCTGGGACAATATATGAGACACTTCATGGGTACGCATAATTTCTTACCGTTGTCTGTATATTAGCACGGTTCCAGCCTCCTCTTTCCCTTAAAGCAACACATGCAAATGCTAGTGAGAGATTCTCAAGTCCCCTTTATTTAAAAACCTAGGGAAAACCTTGGAAAAATTCAACACAACTATCGTCAATAACTATAGGGTAGTTAGGGCTTTGACATTAGAACAGATTTATATTGACTGATAATCCAACCGTTGCCTCAAACTATGTCCCCTGGTAAATGACCTTATGTCTCTAAGCCTCATTTTCTCCATCTGTAAAATGGGTTTAATAGTTGTGTGCTTGCTGTTGATAATAAAATGAAATCACAAATATAAAGCATTTACTGCAATCCCCAAATGTTGGCTAATAATAATAATAACTTACATTGACAATCTCAGTATGAACAGTAAAACAGTAGGAGGAAGGGGGAAATGCCTCTGGAAACCAATAACTAAATAATTTGTTTCATTTTTTTTTTTTCAAGTAGGCTCCACACCCAATGTGGGGCTTGAACTCAAGAGTCACATACTCTACCAACTGAGCCAGTCAGATACCCGTAGTCTGTTTCTGTAATAAAATTCTCTAATTCCTTATATATTTCCCTCATACAGTATTCAGGTTGATAAATCACTTATTATCAATTTTTAAAAATTATGAGTATCTACTGTGAATAAGGTACATGCACATTTGTTGGTAATTAGAAAATGTAGTATTCATTTTTCTCCCACCTTAGCTTTTATTTGCGTATTATTTAAGTGTCAGGGTACCCCTCAGACGAAGGATAATTGTAAAGCCCAGGTAACGCCCTGATGGGTGCAGGCCTGTGGAGACAGCATATCTGCTTCTGAGCCTTGGCAGGCCACGGGCGAGCAAATGGGGAACCAGGCTGAGGCCGCAGCTACGCAGCTTGGAACTGCCCTCCCAAGGGGTGGGAGGTGTGTGGGGCCACAGATTCACCAGCTGATTGCAGAAAAGACCTGGGCTCATCTTAGCACTTGTGTTCTGACTTACCCAGGCCCCGGGAACTTGGGAAAACAAGCCCCCCTCATTTCAGCCCCTGGAGTCAGAGGCGTATGGCAACCAGCTGGCTTCCTGAACATAGTTGCAAATGACTTATTTTGAGTTCTTTCTCACCGAGGCAACTACAACTAAAAGGCTTAGAACCTGTTTTGTGTGATGCAATTTTAGTGTCTGTGATCTTTCCAGTCATTTTTGTCTACAAGCTGTTGGCCCTGAGAATTACTTACATTTTCATTACGAGTGCTCAACCCCCTGTCGTAGGAGAGTCAAGCAGCTTATTTACTTCCTACTGGCAGGCTTCGGAGGAAACCGCTTAGCCAGGCTTGCTGAGCCATTGAACCAAAATAAAGTAACTTGCTGAAGAGCCGCACCAGGTCCTTATTCACCAGCTCTGCTTCTCCTCTGCTGGGCCTTCTTATGGGGACCCAAACAGAAATGAGCTGCTGTGTGCAGCAGTCAAAACACGGCCTTATTTTTCACCTTCCCTTTTTTCTGGATGAAGCAAACTTTTCAGAGTCCATTTGCATATATGTATGACACCTGTTTACTGAGCACAACAAGGGAGTGAGTTTGTTCTCTGTGTGCCTTTTCAGATAAGCTTATCCCTTTAATCATTTAACCTTTTCCTTGTTTACAAAGAAATGTTTAAAAATATTCATCAGCCTCATCCCCCCTTCTAAGGCAGAAAGCAAGCACATGGTCGTCATTTTGGATTAGTCATTGAGATGTACTCTGATACCCACAAGAACCGGGAGGTGGGCGGACTTGTTCTCCCCAACATTAAATAATCCCACACTGCTACATCCGGGCTTCTGATTTCTACCTTTATGTCTCTTCCTTCGCTGTCTGGCTGCCTGCTTCTAACAGCCCCTTTCTCGGCTTTGAATGTGCTATTTCTAATCTGCTATGGACTGGGAAATCAGATAAGCCTGTTTCCTAGAACTGGGAAATCAGATAAGCCTGTTTCCTAGAACTAAATGCCTGACATAATGTTCTATGAAGAGTGCATAAACTTCAGTGCATACTTGGCTATCAGTTAGGATGCTTTGGGCTGCAAATAATTGAAAACCTCGACTCCTCACAGCCTAAGCACCAAGCCAATATATGGTGTCATAGAACAAAGAGGCTCCGAAAAGGATAGAGTCCAGGCACAACACTTCGGGCCCTGTTTTCCTTCTGGATCCGCTTTCTTCCACACTTGGCTTCATCCTCCAGCTGGTGGCAATGTGGCTGCGGTGATGGCTGCACACCCCAGGCACGGCAATGTTCCAAGGGAGAAGAGAGAACATCTCCTTCTGTGTTTCCTTAAGGGGAAGGAAACCTTTTTCAGACCGACTCCAGCTTCTTCAGCTAACTTACCCCTGAGGGCTCAGAATTGCCCTTGCCCAAACCAACCACTGACTTTGGGGCTAGAACTCACAGGAATGACCTGGGCTAAGCAGCATCCACCCTGGACTGTGTTGGAATTCTCTCAGGAAAAAGAAGAGGAAAAACTAGACACTGGGAAGAGAACCAACAGTTTATGCTAGAAATTGAAGTTACTTATTTATGATTTTTAAATAATTTTTGTAGATTTGCAGTTGTTTCTATAATTAGTTCAAATTTGGAGCAGATTACTTTTAGAAAAGTGAGACATTGTTTGAATTAAAATCAAATGGTAACCAGAGATATTTAGTGAACAACTAACTTTGGGGCTACATGTACCCCTAAATGGAGACAAAGCTTGGTGGTTGTCTCCCTGTGAATATTTTACCCTTGAATGACTCCACCTATAGTAAAAAGACTACACAGTTTATTACAAGGAAATGTTCAGTGGAAGGAGCTATAAAGGTGGCTGGCATGTTATGGAGGCCAGATACCCTTCAAATGACTGCTGGTAAATGAGTGACAGGAAGATCTTGGGAGCCAATATTATCTTCATGGAGCACCTTAAGAAGGAGGTCTCAAGACCTAGACCAGGTTTTAGGGTGTACACAGCCACGGATAAATTAGGCAAATTTATTAGTGTATTTTGTTTGTTTCTTAAAGCTCTAGAAAGCTTCTCCCTGTAATACAAGGAGCTCAAATGAGCATTTCTTCAATTAACATAATATGTAGAACTGTTGTTATAGATCAACTAAAGGACCCCTCTTATTTTACAGAGTTCAAGTTTCCAGAACACATCAGCTTTTCCAAGTGGTCCCTGACTCTCTTCCCCACTGCCAAGTGGGATTTGATGTATCTTCCTTTTGCTCCTTGAGCACTCTGTGCACACTTCCAGCACCATACTTAACCACATTGTAATGCAGTGTAAGACTTTGATCTTTGTCTTTTTCCCAAAGTTCCAAGGATGTTGATCAAGGAACCAAGTTCTATTTATTTTTGTATTATAGGGTCCTGGTGCTTAGTGATTGTCAGAGGAATGAATGAATAGATGGATGGAGAAACTAAGCAGCAAAGCAACCAATGATTTGTCCCATCCTACTCAGGAAGTTAGGTGCATAGTTAGGATAGAACCCTAGATTCCAGGGCTATTTTCCAGTTCGCAGATCTGCTACGTCTACACAGATGGGTTTTTTTTTTAATTGGGAATTCTGTTTTTAAATCGCTCTAAAAACTATGTTGGGGCAGGTAGAATGTTGTGATACTAGAAACAAGGACCCTGAAATCACAGCATCAGGATGTGCAAGGTTTTAAAAATAGCAACATGGCTCAAAAAGACTTACTATGAAAAACAAAAAGACTTTAAATTATCTTCTCCAAGTTACCTTTACTTACCAGCCATTTATGAAACTAAATTCTAAGCCTGTCCCTTACCCTTATTCCCATCCCAATATGTACAAAAGGCAAGTAGCTGTGAACATGGGGATTACATCCACTAAGAAGCCTCCATCATTTCAGCTTCGTGACAACTTCCCTGGAAATTCAACATCTTGAAGGATGAAGTATTTTTTTTATTGCAAAGTTTTAGTGTCACTTCAGATTTTAATGAGATGATAGCACTCTCTTTTCTTGCACTAGAACCAGATAGAAAGTCTTAGTTATATCCAGAGCAGCCTCAAGGCTCATTATGGACCTACTGGTCACCTAAAGGAATGGAAAAGAGGGAGAGCTTTTTCTTGTTCTAGGTTCTATTTTGCCAGAAGTTCCACCAGAGCCACATTCTGATAGAGCATTTATATTCCTCAGTGCAGAATGTCACCCTTGCTAATCTCTGAAATACTAGAACAGGCCACTCTTTTGAATGGTGGGCATCTTCCTGAAGGTAGACTGAACTGGCTTCAGAACTGATAGAAGCACCCTCTTGCTTCACAGTCTAGCATATCGAGCCATGACTGGAAATGTGAAGATTTTTTAAAGTTCACAAACTGCAGCAGATAATTTGACTTAAAACAAATTGGCCAAATGAAATTTCACCAAATACAATTTGACCAAATATAAAGTGTTGATAGGTATTTAGTTTAAAAGTAATTTGGTCAGTAGGAAAATTGGTAAAATAATATTTATATGACAATGAATAACCACAATGACTGCTTCTTTTAGCATTGGTGATTTTGGAATATACATACCATGAGCTGACTGTGTAGCTCACTGTCCATCATAAGTGTTTTTGTCTGATTGTTGTAATTGGTTCCATTTTTTAATGTATACTTATTTTGAGAGAGAGCATGAGCAGGGGAGGGGCATAGAAAGAGGGAGAGAGAGAGAATCCCAAGCAGGCATCATTCTGTCAGCACAGAGCCTGGCACAGGACTCGATCTCATGAAATCATGATCATGAGATCATGAGTTGAGCTAAAATCAAGAGTCAGACACTTAACCAACTGAGCCACCCAGGTGCCCCTTAGTTACTACTTTTTTTTTTTTTTAGCAAATTACTTATGTTCTTTGTTTCTTACAATACTAAAAGTTGGGGTGAAAGAATTGTTCAACAACACAGAATGATCTAAATGGCCAACAAAAATAGATGAGTTAAAACATCTAAGTATCCATTAGTGGGGGAATTCATTAAGACAGAATATTCACATATTTCCTTCCATGCTTTACTGTATTATTTAAGTTCTTTTGTTAATTTCCTCTTGGTATAAAAGCAATGTTACTCAACACACATGCAAATTAGAAAATATGGACATGCAAAAAGGGACATTATGAACACTCATAAATTAACCTGTTCAGTTAAAACTTTGAAACCTTGAGTTATTTCCTTCCAGGACACATGCACGCACGCGTGTGGGCGTACACACACACACACACACACACACACACACACAGTGATGAAACCAATCTGAATTTTGGTCCAAGAAGACATGCTGTAGGGTTTTACACAATTACTATAGTTGATCTGTGCTAAGGTGAAAAAGCAATGCGATTGTTTTACGAATCACATTATCATCCATAAATATGTACTAGTTAAAAAGAAATAAAAAGCTTCCCATAATGGAAACTTTGCTATGGGCTTTTTCAAAATGAGGATAAAGTGATGTAAGGGGTTAACATTACCAATAACACTTTAACTCTAAATAAAACAATATCCTGTAGAAGCAGGACTAGGATCTGAATTGGTAGAGAAGGCAAAGTAGTAAGATTTCTTGGAGTAGTCATCTGAGATGTTGGGTATCTAATTTAAAGAATTTTTTTCTTGAAAAAAAAGCCTAATTGTGGAGATGGGTAAAGAATGCTTCAGGAAATACCAGCATACCTGTCTTGTCAGGAAGGTTTACAAATAAATATGAGGAAAGACAGCAGGCATGATGTACATACAGGTCAAGATTGCACAGCTATTAGCCAAGCAGATGAGTTTTAAGAAAAGAGCAGCACAGTGTTCCCTTGTCGTACGTGACATAGTCCATGTTGCCAAACACCACCTGCACTGCTTCTTTGTTGGCTTCTTAGTTTAGTCTGTTAAAAAGTGGAAGAGAGGCCCAGCCCATCCTGAGCAGAATCAGAAAGTAGCGTAAGCCATGTCTCCTATCTGTGTCTTCCTTGTAACTCTGCCCTCCTCCAACTGACAAGAATGTTGCAGCTGGACTGAAAGAGAGGCATGAAAGCATCCAGCCCTGCATTCCTGACGTCCAGCCTTGGAACAGGGAGTCAGGACACAATCCTGAAGACTGAAGACACTGGGAAGTGTGCAGCCCAGGAGAGGAGGTGAACCCTCTGTGGCAGAACCCAGTGGAGCGGAGGTGGGCTTACATGAGCTCCAACTGGGAAAGAGAAACCTTTCTCTGGCGAGCAAACAGTAGAGAGGGGACCTGTTGGCACTTTAGACTTACAGTGTTGTCATGCCCTTTTGCCCCAAAAGATTTAATCATTGCTTGATATTTACTTATCCTGTAATATAAAGGAGGTTTTAAACTAGAATGGGCCCTGAATGAAGTTGTTAGAAGTCTATCCTAGAGTGTATGAATTTGGAGAGGGAGGGCGTATTATCTAAGGACCTAAGCCTCCTAGTGACAACCCTAAGACTTAGAGCCCAGCCAACTTGAGCACAGCTCTCCCAGCGCAGCTGGTTCTCTCCGTCCTCACCCCCTTGTCTTCTCTTTCCCTCTGCCCCAAGATGCTGAGCACGCAGGATCCATACTCACTGTGACTTTTCCTTCCTGGGCCCACGACTCCTCACCTCCCCGCCCCTCCCTGCATGCCCACCCCAAGCACCGTATCATAGCCTTCCTACCCAAGCTGGTCATCACTCAGCCTCCAGACACTCGATCCTGCTTCTTTGGAAAGTGGGTGGGTACAGCTGCATGGAAGGGAAAAAAGAAGTGAACCAGAGAGAACCAGAAGTGAACCAGCTGTGGGCCTTCCAAGTGAGGAGGGAACAGGAAATCCTACAAGTTGCTAAAGACAAATCATGTCCACTTCCCTTATAATTCAGATTCCAGATAGGAGGTTGAGATTTCAAGTGACTGTTCCAGATTACCCATTTGCTTGCTGTGAAAGTCAAGATTAGGATCCAGCTCACACAACTATCACCCAGTTGTTGTGACTGCCTCTGTTGTGCCATGTAGAGACAGAAGGAAAACCATGATC